GAAAGGGTGTTGCCCCATTCGCCCTCTCCTCTCTGGAAAGAAAGATGGCGGCCACATGGGAGCCTTGTGGACAGCAGGTATGAGCCGCGAGTGTGGGGGCGACTAGAACCTCATGGGAAGGGGGGCGTTTCGCTCCGCCCTTCACGCCCTACCGAGGCCACCGGTTGCCCCCCGCGAGCGGCTCTCCAGCACGGCCACGACTCCAGAACACAGAAACCAATTTCTTAACTATCTGACTTTCAGTAGAAATACTTCCAGGGTCAATAGGTAAAAGAGCAGAAACCCAAAACCAACATTTAATTCTTGAACCCAGCCGTAGAAAGCAAATCACTTCACAATGCTTTTTCAGCATGTCTGATTTGGGGGGGGGGGGGGGTAAACTCTAAATAATAGTGGTGAATCTTTTATTGAAACAATGAATCTAATCAAAGCAGATAGAGTGTTAACTAGAATTCATCTGCCTCACAGGGACGGGGAGGGGTGGGGGGTGGGTTTTTATTGGGGTTCTTCATGGTAAAAAATAAGTATTGGTAAAGGGAAATGTGTTTGATATTTGCATGACTGAGACATAAACCTGAAAGCTTTGTAACCTTTCCCACAGTGATTCAATAAATAAATAAAAAAAAAATTTAAAAAAAAAAATAAAAAAATAAAAGCATTAATGATACAGAAAAAAAAAAGAAGAGTCAAGAGGTTGGGTAGTGGTTATAAGAATAAATAAAAGGTAAAAAAAAGGTAAAGGCCCTCCCGTTGATCGTCGATTTGCTCGAGCGGGCCCAGTAACGTCTCCATTGGAGACTTTGTTGTTACTGTGTCTGGCATATCCAATACTCTCGGTAGCTTGCCGGGCTCTCCGAGAGGGGCGGAGGAATCGAACTCGGGTCGGCCATGTTGGCCGCTTGTAAGGCGAACGCCCTACCCGCTGTGCTATCGCTCCAGCCATAAGAATAAATATTTAGAATAAATAATCGGTAAGCCTTGGTTATAATATGTAAAGAGGAACGGGAAAAACAGTTATCCCCAAGTACTTACTCTGGATAGAAATATGAATCATGGTTCACAGTAGGAATATGTGAGAGAAGTGGATGATATATTTCTTTGGGAAGGTAGCATTTAAAGTGCCAGGATGTAATATAGATAGTATCAGTAAAACTATATATGTGTGTATACTCTTTTCAAAATTATACATATATATATAAACCCTCTTGTCAAAATTATGGACACATATACATATATATGTGTCCATGTATATATAGACCCTCTGGTCAGGATTATACACATATATACACATATGTGTAAAGTTGTTCAGTGACTATTTACAAATACAGGGGAAAAAAAGAGGAACTATAATGGATGCCTGGGAAAATACTTTAGAAGCATGTTGAGAGGTCAATATGTCCTCACATGGAAACCAATTAAGATATTTCAAGGATTTAGTGACCACAGGGTCCTTAGCAATCAGCTTTGGGGTTTGGGTTGAGTGATATGAGTGACGGAAGTAGGCACTGAATTAGAATGAACAGAAAGCTGAGAGGCTGAGATAATGACTATGAATATAACTAATAATTCTGAATAAAATGTGGATGAAACTGGAAGAATGTTAAATGTGCATGTTAAATGAAGTAAGGCAAAAGAAGGACAAACGTGGAATGATATCACTTATATGTGGTATATAGAATAATAGGATGAGAGAATGCAATGTATTTAAAAAGTGGGATGCCTCCATCACCGTTGACCCTCAAGTATAGGTAGGAGGAGAAAGAAGGAAAGAAAACAAAGGGGTTCACATAGCCAACTACTTTCATCCCCAAGGGTTCTATCTGGTTCCCCAAGATCTGCCAGGAGTGATTCCTGAATCCTGAGCTAGGATTTACCCCGAAGCACTGCCTCAATATAAAAACAAAACAAACAAAAGAAATCAAAAATAAAAACAAAACAAACAAAAGAAATCAAAATAGGAAGTAAGAAGAGCCAGATCAGAAGCAACTGGAGGCAGGGACCAAGGGTGTATAGGTGTAGAAGAGTGGTATTACTATCTATCAAAACCACAGAGTCAATAGCACTGAAATCATGAGACCCAGACTTGCAACAACCTCACTTTAAAATGTGCCAGTCAGTGGTGCCAGATTGATAGTGCTGTGGGTAGGGCACTTGCCTTATATCCAGCAGACCTGAGTTTGACCACCACCATCCCATTTTGTCCCCCAAGCCCTTGAGAAGTTATCCCTAAGCACAGAGTTAGGAGTAAGTCCTGAGTACCACTGGGTGTGACCCAAAAAACTAAATCAAAAACAAAATCAATGTGCCAGTCAAGATGACAGACAGGTGTAGGGGGAAAGCGGGAGAGGAACATGGGGACAGTAGTGGAAGGGAGTTGATATTGGTAGTGGGATTGGTGCTAGACCATTGTATGTCCAACACTCAACTATGAATAACTGTAAATTTTGGTGTTTTAATAAAATTTTAAAAATTAATAAAGGCTCTGGGCTGGAGCAATAGCACAATGGTAGGGTGTTTGCCTTGCACGCAGCCAACATGGCCGACCCAAGTTCGATTCCTCCGCCCCTCTCGGAGAGCCCGGCAAGCTACCGAGAGTATCTCGCCCACACAGCAGAGCCTGGAAAGCTACCCGAGACGTATTCAATATGCCAAACACAGTAACAACAAGTCTCATGATGGAGACGTTACTGGGCCTGCTGTAGCAAATAGATGAACAACGGGAATAAAGGCTCTGAAAGAGAGGATCAGAGTCTGACAAAGTGCATTCTAGGTTTGGGAAAGTCTTTCAAGGTTAGTCAAATGATAAAGAAAAGGATTCAAGAAAAAAATTATCCTTAAGATGTTAAGTATTCCAGAGCTGGAGCAATAGCACAGAGGGTAGGGTGTTTGCCTTGCACACGGTCAACCCAGGTTCAATTCCCAGCATCCCATATGGTCCTCTGAACACCGCCAGGAGTGAATCCTGAGTGCAGAGCCAGGAGTAACCCCCGAGCATCGCTGTGTATGACCTCCCCCCCGAAAAAAAATAAGAAAAAGAAAGATGTTAAATATTCTTCTTCATTTACACTCTAATTTTTGAACAGCTTCTACCCTTCTATCCTGTTATTTCATTATAGCCTAGAAAACAAAGATCCTGATTATATTGCATCTTCTAGCTCAAAGAGAGGTCACAGTCATGGTCACGGTCCTCCTGTTGTTCATCGATTTTCTCGAGCGGGCCCAGTAACGTCTCCATCGTGAGACTTGTTACTGTTTTGGCATATCAAATACATCACGGGTAGCTTGCCAGGCTTTGCCGTGCAGGCAAAATACTCTCAGTAGCTTGCCAGGCTCTCCAAGAGGGGTGGAGGAATCGAACTTGGGTCGGCCATGTTGGCTGCGTGCAAGGCAAACGCCTTACCCACTGTGCGTGAATACAAATATTATTTGTAGGAGTATTTGAGAATGAGGGGCATCTATTGGGGTCTGACAATAGAGCAGCAGCCAGTGGATTTTGTGGAATGCTTTATCACATGAATAGAGAAGAAATTCTAACATACTTAATCATGTAAACACTAATGTGGTAGAATAAATGTTAATATCAGACATGATTCTCGTTTTTTGTACACCCTTAGTTCTGCCCAGATACTGTGTGTGATAATATTATTGTTATTGATGGCTTTTAAAAGGACTGGAGTGATAGCACAGCAGGTAGGGCATTTGCCTTGCACACAGCCAACCTGGGTTCGATTCCTTCATCCCTCTCAGAGAGCCCAGCAAGCTACCGAGAGTATCCCACCCACATGGCAGATTCTGGCAAGCTCCCCATGCCCTATTCTATATGCCAAAAACAGTAAAAAGTTTCACAATGGAGACGTTGCTGGTGTCCGCTTGAGCAAATCGATGAACAATGGGAGGACAGTGCTACAATGCTACAGTTTTTTAAAAGGATGGATTATGTTCAGAATCTACAGAAAGAAGTTTTGGTTTTGTTTTTGCTGGGAACGTTTGGGGTGAAATTCATAATGAGACTCTCTCTGAGTAGTGGCAACTTCAGCTTTATTAGGGGAGTTGGATTCTACTAATGGGTAAAAAGCAATCAAATTTGTTTTGCCATATATAAACTTGGATGGTGAATTTGGCTGCAAGATAGGATCTTTATCTCATGCTGGGAAGATCTATTGTAGCACAGGATTACTGGCTCTTACTAGTCAGGAACATCATGTAAGTTCTGATTTACTTAGTTTGTGGCTTTGTGAACAGCATTCAACATCAGGTAAACTTAATGTAAGGTCGGAGAAGCTACCAGATATATTTTATTCATGGTGGATGTCAGTTTCCTTAAGAGTAATTGGATTGATAGAAAGAAACCGTGGGTTTTCATCATAGTATATGAAAATGAAAAAACAGTATTTGTGGACAGTACAAAAGATATGGTAGATCCTTTTCATACTTAATTTGGAATTGCTGAAATCTCCCTTTCAGGAGAAGAACAAATTAACCTGATTAGTCCTGTTGCTGCATGTCAGAAGTACTTCAAAGAATGTTTAGCCTGAATTAGTAAATTAGCTGTATTCGTACAAAAATTGCTTAATATGCTTACACATATTAATATTTGTTAATGTTTGTGAAAAGTGTTTATCAGACATAAATGACTATGTTACTATGTTATATAGAGTTCTGTTTATTTTCATAATTATATAATTATATGTTATAAAGACCTGCTGTTTATTATATACATATATATACATATATATATTACTAACACAAGACTTGCTAGCCAGAGGGAAAGTCATCTTGGCTTCATTTAAACCAGCATCTATCCAGGTAAGTTCTTAGTCTTAACATTTTCGTCACTGGGTCAAAGCTAAAGAAATTTCATAGAAATGTTTATGAAAATAATAAATTGATCTGAACTTACATCTTTCTATTTTTCTAATGACGGGGAAAACTGAGAAAGGGGGAGATGATCTGTCTAAACCCAAGAATTTAATAACACTGCCTCTTTTTCCTTGTTTTAGGGAATGCTGTCGATTTTTTGGAGACAATGGCTTGACTTTGAAGGTGTTTTTTACCAAGGCAGCACCCTTTGGTGTTCTTTGGACACTCACAAACTACCTGTACTTACATGCAATAAAGAAAATAAACACTACGGATGTCTCCGTGTTGTTCTGCTGCAACAAAGCTTTTGTGTTCTTGCTCTCATGGATCGTTCTCAGGGACAGGTTCATGGGAGTGAGGGTAAGTCCTTATTATCTGTCTTCCTCCCCCACTCAGTCACATCAAACAAAACCTGCCATTGCCTTGCTTAGCTCTGTGCGCTGAACCATAAACATAAGCTGCTGATCACTTTTCTTCTGATTTTCAGCACAAGAGGAGCCGGACAGAGGCACCCGTTCTTGTTTTGCCTTGCAGTCCTTGTTTGCAAACCATTAGTAGACCACATTCATTTAAAGCACCTTTCATTCCAAGCATTTCAACAAGCGTTCCCTGAAGTTTGTAGCAATTGGGTGTTAGTCCTGGGAATGATGATGCATCTCCCCCTCTCTGTTTGCTCACCTCTGTCACGGGCTGCGATACCTGGCAGTTTCAACCTCTCTGCTAATGTGGATTCTCTCTGCTTCGACCTGTCTCTTAGCCAAAGGAATCTTGTGCTACAATACATACATAAATTCTTGGCAAGCCTTTTGCTTGAAACTTGTGTACTGAAGCAAGATAGGACACTCACACTTCTGCTAAATCTACATCTTAAATAAACAGTTTAACTTTCTTTATACCCCAAAGACAGAGTAAAATGGTATCTCCTTAAATTACTTCTTGTTAAAACCCAGGTTTAGTGCATCACTCATATTTTATATAACTGCTGTGACACTTGACTGAAACTAACTTATATTTTAATGGAAATTGCTTCGTAATATCTGCTATTAAACACACATATACACAACAACAATAACAACTCAGGATCGCCCACTAAGAGGTGACAGCATTGACCGAATCATAATGGCTTCTGTTGTCTCCCCCTGGTGGCCTTAGACTGCCACTGTCCCATCATCACTTTGTCCTAATCTTCCTTTTGTCCTTTTGTCACACATAGTTCTTGAATGGAGTTCATTGCTCAGTTTTTCTTGCACCCGCACACCATGGAAACATGGAAACTTCATGTAAAGTTGCGTTAGAGTAAGCCATGCTGCCCCCAGCAAGGGGCAGACTCTAGACCCTTTACTTGTCATTGTCCTGAGAGCAATGACATCACCCTAGTGGTGAATTCACGCCCACCTTGTTACTCAAACAGCAGTGGGGACATGAGTCAACGGCTGAGCAATATTTTTAGCTTTCAGTAGGGGGAAATTTTGTTTTGAGGCTGAGTGTTAATTTTGGAATAAAAACTCACTGTGCTACCACCAGAAAAGCTTTTAGCAAATAAATGATCTAATAGCTCTCCAGAAGAAATGCAGGTCCTTCCAGCAGTAATCTGTCCAGCAGTCTACCTCACTGGACACTGTGGACCCAGATGTCCTGTGCTCTCTGTTGATAGGGTTAAGAGAAGGAGGTGAAAATATATGTGAAACACACAGTGACTTCTGTTGTTTCCAAGTCTTTGTTGCTATACATGGAAAGAAAGTTTTCCACTAACAACCCTGAGCTATAAAGTGGTCTATCCATCCTGGCCCACTGATCTGTTGGGAAAAAAGCTTAACGTTGAAGTCTTCAGTCCTAAGCTGGCAATAAAACCCAGGGCCACAGGGCTTATTTTGGTACAATACTGTAATCTGTAAAGCACTGTTCGATTGTGGTTCTCTCTAATAGTCATTATTCCCTGGAGAAGTTTGTGAATGGTCATGAAAAAGCTTCTCACTCAAAGTCCTGGTGGGCCGCCCTCTGCTCATCTGTAAGAGTTCAGAGAGTTTGCAGACTCTAAGATACTCCACACGTTGGCTAGAATGACTCAGTTTCCCTTGATAAGCAGATGGAGTTTTAAGTCCAAGATAACATAATCTGGTACAGAAATTCTCCTAAGACATCTCTCGACCTGCTGCTGAGTCAGCAAGCACATTCCACTGGGTAGATTCCAAAGACAGAAGGGGACCCTATCCTTTAGGCTTTGCAAACAGCCTGTGGATAAGAGCCATGTAAAGAACACAGCAAGTCTCAGCATTGTTTGTGGAACAGATTGCTTAGAGAACCTTGAGCTATTCAGACAATTATGCAAACCACAAAAGATGAGTTCCTGGAAAACATCAGCAGGTCCACTTGTGTGAACAGATCAGAAAGACACAAATATATCTCCTTATGCTAGAGAGACGTTGGTCACACATAGCATCAAAGATGACTATTGAAAGACCCCCAAGTCGACCCCTATGTCACCTTTTGATTTTAATGCATTCCAATGTTCAAACACAGATTGTCACACAACAGGAAATAAAATTCTAGTCTAGACTCTGATAATCAAGGTTGGCATCCTGGACCTACTCAAAAGCTGTCAAGCCTGGGGCAAATTAGTTAGCAGCTCTGAGCCTTGAGTTATCTCAATTTTAAATAGAATATTAGTATTCATAAATCACTTGTGAGATTAAAACAAGATGCAAGCATGGCTCATAACTCAATGTTATCTTTTATGAATATTGAAATTTTTATTATTCCGTCTTAATTCAAGGGGGCTGATGGAATAATTCAATTAATTTGTTGACAGTGTTTAGAAGGTAACAAGCACTCAGAAAGGCAACTTGTGTTGCAAAAGCAACAGCAGAATGACAACAAGTAAAATTCTGAAGGTATGAAGTATGGCCTCTTCTAAAACTAAAGCTTCACCAGCAGACCCTTGGGTTAGGAACTGGATGAAAAAAGGGTCAAGTAGGTGAGATCATCTCTACACAATCTCAGCAAAAATAGAAGGGGTGCTCTGATTATTCAGCAACTGATCTAACCACCCCCATAAGTACAGCTCTCAAGACAAAAGGAACTGATAAAGGGGCAAGAGACCAAGCTTCGTAGAGACCCAGGTGGGCTCTAAACCCCCAGCAACGTGTACTTGTGTACTTATGTTTTAGTCAAATTCAAGCTGATGTTTCCAAATGTTGCATAGTTTTCTGTGGTTTACAGGATCCATCTCTCAGTAACTACAGTTTCTGACCTTAGTGCTTGAGCATGTCACAGGAGAAAAAACACTCAGCCTGGACCCTCTGAAATAATCAAATCTATGTCAGTCCCTGAAATAATCAAGAGGGAAGATTTCATCTCTAACTCCAGTACTTTTTGAGTCAATGATAAAAGCATAAAACTTAGGAAGCAATTTTTTAGGGAAGTACATTTAAAAATTTGTCTGTGGTTTCTAAATAAAAAGGTAAACCTTTTTAAAAGAAGGGGATTAGTCTAATGGTGCAGAGAGATAATATAGGCTCTTTCCTTGCATGCAGGCAACCATAGTTCAATCCTTGGCACCACATATGGTCCCTAAGCAGCACCAGGAGGATTCCCTAAGCACCACCTGGCATGGTCCTAAAACAAAATAAAATCAAATTATTCTGTGATTTATTCCCTTTTTCATAATTGTTCCTAACTTAAGCCTGGGTAGATAGTATACAGCAGGTAGTGTGGTTGCCTTGCATGAACCCACTAGGTCTAATCCTTGACACTTCAGATGGTTCCCGGAGCCCCACCAGGAATGATACTTCTGAACAGAGCCAGGAGTAAGCCTTGAGCACTGCCAGTTTGTGACCTAAAATAACAAAATTACCCCTAACTGAACAGATCTTAAATACACATAACTTTGACAGGGAAAAAGCCCTGGTTTAGCAAGTGACAGGAGCAGCATGGAGCTGAGATGTGGGCCTCCCTTCAGTATTGAACCCACCTCTCCACCTTCCTTCCTTGATGTTCAGGGCCTTCCAACTCCCTCCTGCTCGGACTGCTGTCATGGGGGAAATGTATGCAGGAGGATATTACAGTGGGTGCCCATCCAGGTGAGGTCACCACTACAAGATAAAATGGGGCCAGAGATTAAAAGTAGTTCACAGGTTAAGCATACACTAATCATATAGGAGACCAGTTTGATCCCCAAAAATACCTGGTCCTATGACCACCACCTAGAGTGACTCCTGAGTCACACAAAAACAGATTACTAGTAATAAAAACACTTGTAACCAGAGAGAAAACTCAATGGTCTGAGTATGTTTTGCATGTAAAGGCTCAGATTTTACCACCAACAGCAGATGCTCCCCTGACCACTGCTGAGCCACTGAGCACAGAGCCAAGAGTAGTCTCTGAGCACTTTAGACATGAGTACTCCCTATGAAAAAGAGGTTAAACAATGCCTGCTGACCTCTGTCTCTCACACTTGGTTTCTGCCTCTTCTCCAACATATTTTACCTCCGACCTAAATAGAAATGGTGACTCTCATACCTTTGATCTCAAGGATAACATTATGTACTAATCTGGTTCCCCAAGTCAAGTCATTGTCTTAGGTTAGCTCAGTGGGTAGACAGAAGCAGAAATGGGACAACAGGAAACTGTAATAAACATAAGACCCTGGAAATAGGGAAACTACCTATTTAGATGCAAACTTGTTGACTTCCTCCAGGACCTCAGAGGTAAGAGTATGTGCAGTCTCGGGAAGCATGGCCAGTCCTCCTGAACAGCATATTTGAGCTCAGAGAATTAGCGACCACACACTTACAAATGAAAACCAGGAAAATCATATATAATTTAGTGTCAAATAAAGATACCTCCTAAAACTAGAATTTGGCTCTTCAAAGGAATGACTCTACTTTTGGAAGGACTCTTGGGCTCTGCCCTGCGCAGCCTATAGGGACATTTTCACCTCTGCTCCTTAGCTGTACAGGGTGAGGCAGCTTTATGGGGCAGCCCTAAATACCTTTAGGGCATTTCTCTGGCCCAGAATCAGGGCTGAGGGCCACAGCAGGGCATCTGGTACTCAGAGAGTGGCTGCTTGATCAGTTGATCCTATGAGTTGTGACAGAGACTCCCCAGTTTTCACTGTGCCCACAAAAGGATGTCAGGAGGCTTCTCTGTACCCCCAATGACATCTGTCAGAATGAACCCAAAAGACCAAAGTTCCTCATACATTGACCAGAAGGCAGGCCAGTGGCCTCTGGTGCTTCTTACACCTCCAACTCCTTCCCGTGGCAACTCTGCACAGTACAGTTTGGATGAAATCTATTGGCTGTTTATTATTTCATCATTAGAGAGAGAAAGAGGTGCAAACCTGCTTTGAAATCTTTAGGAGTCTCCTCCACTCCTCACATTTCATCCCTAATCTGTGAAGACCCAAGTAAATTGGGAGATGCAGCAAAATGTCTGAAATTAAACTATTTTTTTACTCCCTCTCCCCCATCCCCCTTTCTTTTATAATATTTTTCTATCTGTTGGTCTGATGTCTACCTAGCTGGGCTTTTTAAAGCAACTTCTTTGCATTATTTCTGTCCCCTGGTGCAGAAATCATTTAGTGCCAAAAGAGAGTTTAAGACTAGGAGTTCATGTTTTGCTTGTGCAAGGCCCCAAGTTCAATCTCCAGTACCAAATGCCTCTCCAGCCCACGGGATCACTGCATCAGCGGTCCCATGCATTGAGCCATGGAGGCCCACTCACCTGGGCTATCACCCAGAATGGCCAGTGAGCCCTCTGAGCATTGTTTAAGACATACACCCCAAAAAGATAGACCCTCTTTCCCTGCTTATTTTTACACTTACCTTTCCTTGTTATACATTTTTTTAGAGGGCATTGAAATTTCGCTTGTTTTCTAGCTGTTTCTCTAAATGAACAGCTGTGTTCAGTGATTGTGGCACGGGAACATGAAATCTGGGTGCTATGTGATCAGAATGAAGCAGATGATAGAATGTGAACCTCTAAGCCAGAAAGAAGAATTAGGCAAATTTGGGTCTGGCTTACGCCACTCTATATTTACCTACTCTTTCGAGAGTCCTGAGCTATAGGAGGATGTAAGAAAAGACTGCCTGAGGAAGTCACCAGTGGGTGAATTATTAACACAAAACAGAGCAAGATTCACCCATGTTACCTTTTGCTAACCTAAAATAATATGTTTGAGCCATGGATAATACCCACAATTAAGATAACCATCAATATCAATACTCTTTTATAATATAAATTCATAAATGTGTATGTGTATGTATGTATTCAGGGAAGTGTGACTCACACTGACAGCTGTCTATCTTTATGACTTTGGACAAATTAGTTAACCTCTCTGAACCTACATTTCACATCTATACAATAAAATAATGATAAAGACCTTTCTATTTTAACAGTTAAATAAAATGAGAAAATATGTTATATATAAATTATATATAAAATATTATATATAAAATTATATACAGCGGGTAGGGCGTTTGCCTTACAAGCGGCCAACATGGCCGACCCGAGTTCGATTCCTCCGCCCCTCTCGAGAGCCCGGCAAGCTACCGAGAGTATTCGATATGCCAGACACAGTAACAACAAAGTCTCCAATGGAGACGTTACTGGGCCCGCTCGAGCAAATCGACGATCAACGGGAGGGCCTTTACCTTTACCTTTACCTTTTATATATGTATATATATAAAACCATTTATCCCATAAAGAGTCAGTAAATGTGAGCTCACTGCTCTAGGCAGGTGAGGTCTGTTTGGGATGATCTGTCAAAAGAATTAAATTCCCAGTAAATCCAAACTGCTGAAACATGTAGTGACATTTGTTTGTGGCCTTCACTGCACAACATGCAGCATCTGCTTCCCACCCATGAGTAACATAGCTATAGCCCCTCATCCAATTAGAGTTGGACTTCATCTCTTTGCTGAAGGAAAATGTTCTCCCAAGTACTTAATCTCCTGTGTTCTGATGATTGTGTTTCCACAGTTGTTAACGAGTACATCTTCCTAGAGCTTCCATTCAATCTCAAAAGTCAGAGTGGGTGTAGGAAAGCTGTAGCACTCAAGAAAAAGAAACTTCACTTACTGATTTAGGACTAATATTATGTCCCTAGGCAACAGATGGCTTTCCATCAGAAGACCTTACTCCTGGCATTAAAAATGGGGCCAAGATTTGTGGCCCTAGCTCTTCCCTCTATTGATATTGACAGATATAAAAGCAAGATCATAGAAATTGCTTTCAAAAGTTTAGGGAGGAACTCAGAGGTGATTTCCAGGCATTGCCCAAGTAACCTATCTACAAGATTATGACCTCCTTCTCTCAAGTTCCCAAGAACCACAATAACTACCTACCAGACAATACTAAAGTCAGAGCACCGCTCCTTCCTGCCAAACATTTCAGTTTTATGGTCATGCCATGCTTGCTTAGTGTCTCTCTAAACAGAAACAATATTTAGAAACGGGAGCAGTAGTCTTAACTTATTTTTAATGGAGGCACACTGGAAATGCTTAATATTATTGGACACTCACGATCATTTCTACCCCACTGGCACTTAGATGGCCCATCCAACTCCCTACCTCTCCCTAACCAACAGTTCTTCCTTCTGACCACCAATGTCTTCCTTCCTTCCAGATTGTGGCTGCTATCCTTGCCATTGCTGGGATTGTGATGATGACCTATGCAGATGGCTTCCACAGCCACTCTGTAATCGGCATAGCACTGGTAGTGGGCTCTGCATCCATGTCTGCCCTCTACAAGGTAATTGCATGCAGCGCTAGCACTTCCATGTGAGAGATAATGGGTGCTAGTCATGGTTTTTATGACTTTTAGGGATGTCATAAAAATTTCTTTGTTGAAGTATGAGATTAATACCCAAGAATAGCTGAGATCAGCACCAGGAGGATTACTCCATAACTTAGAGGCCAGCCGGGTATCCTAGAGGAAAGGGCTATTCAGATAGAGAAGGGAGCACCAAATAAAGGATGTTTGGAGGATCCTCCCAGGAGGGGAGATGCATGTCGAAAGTAGACTATGGACTGAACATGTTTGCCACTCAATGCCTCTTTTGCAGACCACAACACCCAAAAGGAGAGAGAGAACACAGGGGATTGCCCTGCCACAGAGACGGGGGGATGGGGGGATGGGGGTGGGAGGGATATTATCCATGGTGGTGGAAAATGGGCACTGGTGGAGGGATGGGTATCTGATCATTGTATAATTGAAACCAAAGCACAAAAAATTGTAAATCTACAACTTTAAAAAAAATAAAATAAAATAAAGGGGAAAAAAAAAAAATTTCTTTGTTGATGCCCATGTTTTCAGAGGTTTTACTGGTTTGCACTAGGCAAAGTGAAACTTATAGAACATGCAAATGCCTTGAGCTTAAGATTTCTAGACCTTGGGGGCTGGAGCTATAGTACAGTGGGTAGGGCATTTGCCTTGCTCACGGCCAACTCAGGTTCGATCCCCAGCATTCCATATGTTCCCCCGAGCATGGCCAGGAGTAATTCCTGAGTGCAGAGCCAGGAGTAACCCCTAAGCACCGCCGGGTATGGCCCAAAAAGGAAAAAAAAGATTTCTAGCCCTTTCTATCAGTGTCCATTTGTTTATTCACTCATCCTAAACATGTTAATGTCTTCAGTGATTGATCCGCTAATTTGCCACCAGGTTGAACCTAACATTTGAATATCAGTGCAGCTTTGTCACTTAAACCTTTGATCTATGATTTTTGCAGTTGCCAGTATTCAACACAAATCCTTGTATATTTCAAATATTGACTATAGGCTAAACAAGTTAAAATCATGCCTATTGTATAAGACAAAATATTTTTGACCGACTATTTGAAATCACTGAGTAGTTTTTCACCTACATTTGTTGGGAAATCAAATTTTTATCACTACTTTCTGGTCTGTTACAATTTGCTCCTTTACTTCATTCTGACTCCTTGCTGCTTTGCCCTTTTTTTCTTCTCTCCTTTTTTTTTAGATCCACAATGAAGAATGCAAATGTTGAGCTAGAATGATTATACAGTGAATAGGGTGCTTGTCTTGCATGTGGCCAGTTTTGATCCCAGGAAACCCATATAGTCTTCTGAGCCCACCAGGAATGATCCATAAGCACAGAGCCAGGAGTACTCTTTGAGCGCAGCTAAGTGTGAACAAAAAAGGAAAAGCAAATATTTACTGGTCTGAAAATTTGAAACTGCCTTACAATGTGAATTTGTAGTCCAAAGATTCCATAAGTACCAAGTTAAAATCTCGTTTCTCACTGAACCTTCCAAGTCAGAGAAAATTAAGTACTATACAATGTTATTTTTTAAAGGACCAAAGTGGCAACTCAAAGAGCTACAGTGCACTGTTTAGATATATGAGTTTTGGGTTCAATCCCTGGGACCACATGGTTCCCCAAGAATTTTCAGAAGCAACCCCCAAGATCCAAGTGAAAAAATAGCCTTCATACCCCTAGCACTATTGAGCGTATCCTCAAAGTAAAACAAAAGTAAAAGTTATAAGTTGGTGCCTTTTTTTTTCTGGCTGTGACTAATATATTTTATGTGTTATAGTTTGGGAAAGTAAAAAAACTGTATCTTCCTTAGCACCCTGCCTTCATTGCCTACAGACATACACATGTCATTTTTCTTCTCTGGAACACACCACAGCAACAGAATGTTATAGTCTTAGCACCAGTCTGATATTTCAAAGCTGCTTTTCCAATGAATAAAACGTTTAACATTCGCATTCTGCTGTGCTCAATTAGCTATATTCTAATGAGAAACGGAGAGCACATAAAAAAAGAGTCCCCATAATTGGAATTTTGCTTTCATCCCTTACACTACCTGATCTTTATTGAGAGAAAGCTAAAAGTATTGTGTCCTGCATATAAGCACAGGAATAAAAGAAAAGTTATGGAGTGACTGTAAAAGGAAGATACAGGAAACAGATACATGATGATACTTCAAAGATATACCTTGTACCACCTCACTAAACGTGGATGAGGCTGACTGTCATCTCCTGCAGTCCTTCTCTTCCTGGCCTTTCATATGCCTGAAATATATAAAGTGGATATATTCTGTTAAAAACTGGTGTTTCTGAAATGGTGGGCACTATAACTATTAATAATTAAATCACCTATAAATCAGAAGTAGGTGGGGGTATGGTACCATCAGCAGGTCAATCAGTACCTGTGAGGTGAATACATCAGCAGCCTGATGACTCCTTCAGACTTCCAGCCTATGACCAGACCCCAAAAACTTGGGGCAAAGTTTACTAAGAAAGTAAACGGCCAAAAGTTAGGTATGTGGGAGACACACCCACAAACACCTCCGGCTCAGCTATATAACTGGAGGCAAGGCCTCTCTTGTTCCTGATCGAACTGCTTAACAGCCATCATCCCAAAGACTCAGAGACAAATCTTGGAAGCCAGGGGCTTTTGGCAGAGATGTGTCTGGTCCCCGCAATGGGTTACCGGAGCCAGACCACCCCAGAGGGTGCTCTCCCTTGGTGGCTCAGTGACCGCCATCCTCCAGAAGTCACTGGACACAGGTTTAGGCCCGAAGTGACAAGACATGTGGGGCTTCACAGGATGGGGGTGGAGCCAGCCCTTTCCTCCCTGCCCCAACGAGACCCTGAGTCGCTGCCTATGAACAGCCTATCTGGCTCCTTATCAAGCTGCTTAACGGCCATGATCCCAGAGACTCAGGAACAAATCTCAGAACCCAGCAGGTTTTGGCAGAAATCCCTCCAGATTTAATTGTTAAAATTTCAGAATTCCAAAACTGCATGGCCACTACTGCAGCCACATGACATCATATGTTATTCATAACCAGCAATAGCAAACAAATTGTCCACTGTTGCCTTTTCAGCAGATCTGAGTGTTGGGGTAAAATCCCAAATAATAATGTTAGGCCTGGTGTCGAAATATTAAATCAAAGTAGAGAAAGAGTAATGTGGAAATCATCTGCCCCACAAGTAGGGGGAGGATGTGAGATGGGGAGTGTATTGGGGTTTTTGGTGGTGGAAAATGGGCACTGGTGAAGAGATGAGTGTTTCATTGCATGACCGAGACTTAAACCCAAAAGCTTTGTAACTGCTGTCATGGTGATTCAATAAATAAAATTATAAAAAAGGGAAAAAAATAAGGTGGAGTTCATGCCCAATTCAATCAGCCTAATCAATGGCTGAATAAATAGCAATACTCCTACAAAAAAATTAAAAAATAAATCAGAAGTAAAGGATTAAGTCTTTGCCAACAAAATCTCTTTTCTTGGGAAGAATAGTTGTCAAGCTGTGTTGTACAAGATCAGTTTGAGTCATTGCTAAGAATATAAATGTCTGCTATTACAATATATTACAAATATATGTGGTTTCTTCATTTCTACATGCCCTGACACTGGGATATTGCATTATGGATACACTATAGACAAATTGGAGACATGGGCCTCCTCACTAGGCTTGAAGTCATTCTTTGTGTAGTCAGAGAGTAGCTCTCCATCCTGCTGTGAAAGTGAATATGTGTGCAGGTGTGCATAGGGCTATCCCCTTCACTGCATACCTAGTAAAGTAAAATTTACCTGTTACATGGCAGTAATACTATGTTCAGTCCCAGGTTGGCCAACTTGCTGTAGTGGTCAGAGTCTCAGGAAAACCTTCATCCCTCCCTTCTGTTTTATTGGCAGGTTCTGTTCAAGCTACTTCTGGGCAGTGCTAAGTTTGGAGAAGCCGCCTTATTTTTGTCTATTTTGGGTGTATTTAACATCCTCTTCATCACCTGCATTCCTGTCATCCTTTACTTTACCAAAGTGGAATATTGGAGCTCTTTTGATGACATTCCATGGGGAAACCTTTGTGGATTTTCAATCCTCTTATTGAGTAAGTAGCAAGAACCTACCAGAATCTCCAGAAAGAATGATTAATGAGCACACTCAGATGGCCTCAGGGGAACCACTGAAAACCCTATGCCCTAAAGGATAATAATCACTTATTATTACCCTTAAATTCCCATTGATTTTCAATAGCACTATTATACAAAGTAAGGACTTTGTGTGATGGCCTGAATATTAGTTTCAAAATTATTTTCCCCGTAGTAGTAATTCATTATGTAGAAAACATGGCTAATAATTCAGGCTGTTACATGTTATCTACTATTAGTATCATTTCTTCTGCAGTAGTACGTGACTATTAAAGTAATATGCACAGTGCACATAGAATACCTGAAAAAATGTCAATAAATATCAACAGTTATGTCTTCATCATCATCATCATTTGATGTCATGTTGGTCCTAGGCAGAAAAGCTGTCTAAGATGTGCCTTGCCCTGATTTCACCTAAAATTGTGTATTCCCAACTTCCTATTATATGGTCATCCCAGAGTCATTGCAGCAACAGAAAAAATCAGTTTGGAAGATAAGAATCATAACCCCCATCCTCTTTTCTAGTGCTTTCTCTCGGATTCCCTCTTCCAAATTTCCTTTCCCTTAGTTATGGAAAAAAGAGAGATGACTGAACAAAATGTCTGTCCCAATGAAAACTATCATGGCTCCAATCTTGTGGAAGAACTGGTATTGGACAGACTAGGTTCCTTGGTCATAGTCATAAAGATCACGAATAACACCCATTTTTTGTATTTTTATTTCAGCATTCAATATTGTATTAAATTTTGGAATTGCTGTTACATATCCTACTCTGATGTCTCTTGGAATCGTCCTCAGTGTACCTGTGAATGCAGGTAAACCTATATAGCTTTCTATATCTGCTTATGATTCAACAAATCCACATATACCTGCACTCAACAAGACAGAGTCCACAACCACCTCAATACTGAGGATCAGAGATAAATATTATTTATAAACAGAAAAGTAGGTAAGGTAAAAAAGTTTGTTTGGTTTTGGTTTGGAGGCCACACCCATTGCCAGCAGTACTCAGAGCTTTCCTCTGGTTCTGTGCTCAAGGATCACTCTTGGGAATTATATTGAGCACGGGTTCCCCATGTGCAAAGCAAGCACCCCACCTGCTGTACTATCTGTCTGGCCCAGGGAAATATTAATTTTTAAGCTTCAAAGAGAGAAAAATGCACTAAATAGCATAAATATTATTCCTTTCATTTCTCAGAGAGAGAACCATTTGCCCAGTAAACTCAGAACCTCACTTTGTTTTCCACTGAGGACTTGCCAACTTACTCAGTTGGTAGCCATTACAAAAGTTTGCCATCACTACCCCTACCCTCATTTCTTTTCCTGGCTCATTCTGGTATAGATGTGTGATTTTCTTCCCAGAATTTCCTACCTTGTAGTCACTCTCCCAGTCTGGGAAGGGTCTGAGAATCATTGTCCCTGGAATACTCCTTGGGTACAGCTTCCTTCAAATCTCTGTCACAAATGCACCTACTAGCAGGCCTTTACAAGATTAGCTTCCCCATAAGTGATGACCCCTTGTCTGGTCGAATGTGTCATGAACATACCTCCAACCAAAATCAAAGCTGAGCTCAATTTCCTGAGCCCTTTCTCACAAGTTTTTCCTGGCCCCAGACTCTAGAAGTGCTCCAGGGTAACAGAAGCCACACTGGAACCCAACACACACTTCACCTACCTATAGGAAGTGGGCCCAAATCATTACCTCTGTGGGCCTTAAGTTGTTAAAAGAAAAGGTTTATCTACCCTCATTACCTTGCCTGATATGAGAACCCAAATGAAATCATGTATGAGACAGTTTAGCTCTTCAAAATCCAGAAAGCCCCTAAACTGGAAAACTGGTTTTTTAAAAATTACAAGAATGCCCAACCATTTTCAGAGTCCCAATATTTTCACAATCACCTTGTTGTGGGAAGCACATTCCAGGCAGCTCTTCTCTAGAAGCTTATTTGGACTATATCATATTTCTAGGTATTTAAGATTAATCATCATTTTATTAAACCTATATTGTTGATCCAGGGAGGTAGCTCAGCAGTAGAGCACTTGCCTTGCAAGTGTAAAGAAGGCCCCAGGTTCGATTTGTCTGCTAAGGTCTGATGTAGTAGAGCAGTCATTGTGTTGCTTCTAAGTTTTCCTTTCCTCTTTAGATAAACTTCTGAGATGACAAATTGACTCTCCCTGACTCGTAGATTAATAAAATGTTCTTCTATATTAAAATTAATGTTTTTTAATTTTATAGTGGAATCATGGGCTGGAGTGATAGCACAACAGTAGGGCATTTGCCTTGCACACAGCTGGCCCGGCCAACCTGTGTTCAATTCCTCTGCCCCTTTCAGAGAGCCTGGCAAGCTACCAAGAGTATCTCGCCCACACGGCAAAGCCTGGCAAGCTACCCATGGCGTATTCAATATGCCAAACACAGTAACAACAAGTCTCACAAAGAAGACCTTTCTGGGCCCGCTTGAGCAAATTAATGAACAACAGGAGGACAGTGTTACAGTGCTACAGTGGAATCATAGAAGCAGCTACTTCTTTGGTAATAGCACCTTCTACATTTTTTTTTAAGTTAAACTTTTACTCTTTTTATTTTTTTCTTGCTGACCCTCTGGTCACACTCTAGACTACATGCACTGTAGCACTGTCCTCCCATTGTTCATCGATTTGTTCGAGCAGGCACCAGTAACATCTCCATTGTGAGACTTGTTGTTACTGTTTTTGGCATATCAAATATGCCATGGGGAGCTTGCCAGGCTCTGCTGTGCAGGCTGGATACTCTCAGTAGCTTGCTGGGCTCTTAGAGAGGGACAGAGGAATCAAACCCGGGTCGGCGACATGTAAGGCAAATGCCCTACCCGTTGTGCTATCACTCCAGCCCTAGACTACATATGAAATGAGAATTGTGGATTAAGGGAATAGAGTGGGCATAAGGGTTACAAAAACAATCAGAAGACAGCAGGGCACCCCACATATGTAAAGCTGGGAATAACTGCCCATCACATCAGTGTTCAATGCTACACAGACTAAAGTCTGCAAACCTTTTTGACAAAATGACACCAAAGTAATGTGGCTCTTCTTTAGTTAAAAGAGAGCACATTTCTTAATTTGCTCTTTCCTTTTATTCCCCCCCCTTACCATTCCAAGTACTTTCCATTCTCTGGCTATAAAGGGAATGATAATTTGAATTTGTGTACGTGGGGGGGGGGGGGTGGCTGGGAGGAGTGGGCCACACCCAATCGTGCTCAGGGCTTATTTCTAGCTCTGCACTCAGGGACCACTCTTGGTGGTATTCAGGTAACCATATGGGATAACAGGGATCAAATTCAGCTAAGTCATGAGCAAAACAAATGCCCTACCTGCTATACTAGTTCTTGCTTGAACCCCATGATTTGAACTCTTCTTAACTGACATGACTCCTACTTCTTTTGTTCCCTTATGTGATATGTGTCAGGAAGTTGCCATATTTTCCATGGACCTTTAATAAACTTTAATTATTGGTGGTATCACAGGCAGTGTAACAGCTTAAATACTGAGTTCTCCAGAGAAGAATAAGAATTTGCATTGAACTCAAAAGTTCAAGTTTGAACTTTAAAACATATTCAAGCATATCTCAAATACTATTTATTGTCTTGTTGGTGTGATTTGCAGTAGTCAGAAAACAAAATTATTGTTTCTCAGAGCTCATGGAATTGTTGTTTACACTATGCTATAGGTCATTCACTATTGTTCTAGACATAATGCTATTGCCAATCTCTAACTCAAATGTGACACACATGTAGTGAGCATATGATGCAGACATATTTGCTGGGCACAGAGTTTCCACAAAGCTTCAATTTTTTTTTAACTTTTTGGGTCACAGCCAGCGATGCTCAGGGGTTATTCCTGGTTCTGCCTTGGGAATTACTCCTGGTGGTGCTCAGGGACCATATGGGATGCCAGGGATCAAACCAGGGTCGGCCGCATGCAACACAAACACCTCCACACTGGACTATCATTCAGGCCCCAAAGCATAAATTTTTAACAAGTGCAATATCTGCAAAGTATAATAAAACAACAATCAAAAAGCCAGTACACATTCAAATATATTATGAAGTGATTCTTCATATTACAAAGAGACCCTCTATAAAACTTTTAAAGTTCCAAAATATAAAGAAAACAGTCATATTTTCATGATACTACTATGCAAAAGTGACCACAATTAAACTTTGGTGTGTCCTTATATGGCACATATATTTACATATCGATGTGTGCATTGTCTATATATATGTATACATACATATATATATATACATATATATGTTTGTGTGCATATATCTAGATAGTCCCTTTTTAATTTATGTCAGACAGATAACAGATATCAGTATTAAGGTTCCAGATGAGTTTAGAAAAATGAAAAACATGTAAATAGCAAGGCCTTATCCCAGAGAGGTTTTCTAAAGTTAAGGATGATTTAACTCTAGGCAAGCCCTACTCTTCTGGAACAAATCTAAGCTGATGAGGATTCTGAGGCAAAGCAGGACCAGATCTCCTATCTGGCAGAAAAGGGTGCTAAAGGTCTGGGTCCTTTACCTAGAAGGAGCCTAAGTGCAGTGCTCAGGTCTGAATTGCCGGTGAGTAATCCAAGCTCTCTATCTCATGCAGTGGTAGATCATTACACCAGTAAAATTGTCTTCAACGGAGTCCGAGTCATCGCCATCATCATCATCGGCCTGGGCTTCCTCCTCTTGCTCTTGCCTGAGGAGTGGGATGTCTGGTTGATTAAGCTGCTCACACGCCTCAAAGTGAGGAAGAAGGAGGAGACAGCTGAGGGCAGCACAGACGTGGGCTCAGGACCTCAGAACAAGAACAGAAGAGCCCGCCCTTCCTTTGCCCGCTGAGGGCCCACTCTCTAGAACTCTGGTGAACACTCCTGATCAAAGATTTAGAGGTCTATTCCTGCCAGGGGAAGCCTCAGTTCGATAAGGTGTACATACTTGTACAGTTCTGGTAATCTGCGGTAAGTTACACGGTATTTATTGGCATGTCCAACTTGCTTGCACTTTTTTCACATCAGACCTTTCACTTAAGGGTACCAATTCCGAACGAAAGAGGAAAAGAAGAACCGCTCAGCTCTTTTCAAATGAATGTAAAGCAGGTTAAAATTATCCATGATGCATAGAGTGTTTTGGATGACAGACATTCTTGACAAGGCAGGACAAATGTTTTGAATCTTAGAAACTGAAAATTATATTGCACACTGTGATTATTTCTCAGCTATGGTAGGTCATATTTTGTTTTTATACCAGAGCTGTACTCTTAATTTTATGGAATTTCACTGAACCAAAAGATAAGTAGGTTAATTTGGAGGGAGAATGGATGGGATGTGAAGAGGTGAAACAAAAAGGAATAACGGACATCAAAAATCGTCTGCTATGACTAATCTGGGGTTGATCCGTGGAAGAGGACAGGCCTGATCCAGGCACTGAGGGGAAAGAGAAGTCGAGCCCCAGTCAGTTTGTTCTTACATGTTTTTCTGTGTAAGATCATGGAAGAGAAATTACAGTGCCTTCTACAGATTTTTGTCTTTACCTATGTGAAGCGAGGTGACATTGTAAGTCACTGGCGCCGTCTTATAATTTAGATGTAGAAATATTTAGAAACAAATAAAATTATATGTGTGTATGTACAAAAATGACAAAGCTAATGACCAGTATAGCAGAACATGGTTTATGATATGCAATCTGCATAGAAGGTAGACTACACAGGAGGTGAATGGCTGGTTGCTTTTACTTAATGACTAAGAAGGGGCAATTATTTACTGAATCTGTAAACCTTTTTATGAAACTTTTAAAGCAACAGGCTGTTTACTTACACCCTTTAGGTCTGCCAGAAAATTCTATCTGTGATAGATCTGTAAAGAGGGATAAGGGGGGTAGAGTTTACTATTTTTGAAGTTTACATTGTTACATAAGAAATGGAAATATTATTTTGAAATGTGTCAAAATCCAACCGGTGCGCTCTGTAACCATGGAATCTTTTGTTTCATAGGGCAAAGGGGCACTCATGACCTGAACTTTTTAGCAAATTATTATTCTCAGTTTCCATTACCTGTTTGCCCAAACAGATTAATAAAGTTTTAAAAAGCAGTTGGCAGTGTCTTAATGACTGCTTTGTTAATTCCCCCACTGCACTTATTTGCCTTCTTCCCCAACCTGACAAGCTCATGGCAATTCCCACCTTCCTACAACTTTACACCTACCCAACCTCATTAAGGGAACATTGTCTGTGAGGTCAGGTGGGTTGTTTTGCATTTTGCATTCATTTGTAAAAGTTAACTTCCTTTCAGTAAGCTTGGAGACCATGTTTCCCTCCCTCTTTCCCCCTTTTCCTCTAGATGCCTTCCCTCTGCTCGAATCTGGGTATTCCTTCTGTCTTCCTTTCTTATTCCTCTTTTATTCTCTACTCAGCTGATGCTGAACACATAGCTCCTCAAAGAAGCACTCTAGTCCCTAAATGACAATTTTTCAGCTCAACTTCCCACTGAACTATTTCCTTGGGGACTGACTAATTTGAGTTCGAGAGAGAATTTAATATTCCAGGCTTTGATAATATGCACATCACTGTTCCAGCATCTATGGTCAGGATCATGTTATCTGATGATGTCTCTCGTGATACTGCTACAAAGAGCTGGGTTTTCTAAGACAGAATGAGAGCAGAGAGAAGATTAAGAGACATTTTTAAAAAAAGACACTCCTCCTGCCACCACAATTATAGTATCTATGCACCATACACACTTGATCTGTGGAAGTACTCCCTGAAGTATCTATCAAAAGCAAAAAGCATTCTTTTCAATGAGTCTGTTGTGTCCTACAATGGGGGGGATTCCCTAACCCCTTCTGGAACCTGAACTAGACATTTCTACTATTTTATCTTAATCTCCAGACCCTTCCAGTTATCCCTGGAAGCCAAAAAAAGATTGCCTTTGTAAATTACAATAAGAAAAAATAGGAAAACACTAAATGCAACAGTAACATTTTTCCCATTGGGCATAAAACTGATGAAATCAACAAAAATAAAAGTAAAAACTCTATGAAGTATTTGTTAATAGTGCTGATGTACAATAGTACTAATGTGCAACAGCCAAGGGTGAAAACAACTAAGGTGTTCATCAGTAGATGGATGGGGAATACACAATGGACCTTTCCATCTTTAAAAAGAAATTTTCATTCATCCCGCATCAGGGAAACACTTTGAATACACTTATGCCAATGAAATAAGCAAGTTGCAATAAGGAAAAAGCAAATCATTCCAATTACAAGTTTCTTACAATAATAATCTCCATAGAGATAGAAAGAGAAATGATAGTTACTGGTGATAGGAATGAGGAGTTGTTGTCCAGTGTACATGAGTTTCAATTTTATAGGATTAAAAATGTCTATAAAACAAAAGAACAAAGTTTCAGATTATGATAATTACTGAAAAAAAACACAATAAATTTACTTAAATTTGCTAAACTGTGTCCTTAAAATGAGAAATTTTAATGTTTGTTATTGTGGTAACTGGGAACAAGTGGGCATAAACTAACCAGTCAACCTTCTTTGCTACCAATCAAGGATTTTTCTAACCCACATCTGCTATTCAGGCCTACCCTGATTTCTTTTCCAGAGCCATCCAAAACAAAGAGAATCAAAGAGAGATCATGGTCAGAATCCTACTACCTTGAAGAACTGGTGTTTTTCCAAATCTAGTTTAGGATATGTAACAATTATCATATATTTTTAACTGTGATTTTTCCCTAAAATTAGAAAATTAGGTTAAGAATTAGATCTGTTTTTAAAATTAGAACAGAGGGTTGAAAAATTCTGTAGACTTTTCTAGAATTCTATGAATTGTGTATTTCAAATGGGTGACCTTATGGAATGTGAAGTATATCTTAGTACTCCTATTTAATAAATAGGTGACACATGAAATTATTTAAATTCTTTAACTGATTCCTATTTAAAATAGCATCTTGCTATTGCTGTCTAAAGAATGAATTTTCTATCTTAGACTCACTCTAAGGCCAGTGGCAGAAGAGATTTGAACTGTACTTGGCTAGGGGCAGCCCTCCTAGCACTCTTTTCTGTGAACTGAGAAATACCAACTCCAAGGAACAATCCAGAAAGGTTACATTCATCAGTCAGTGCCCAAGGTTCTGGCTGTGTTTCAGTATTCCTTCCACCAAGTGGAGTTCCATGGCCCCTGCCTTTTTCCAAACAGATCCTTCAAACTCCCACAGTCCCAAAGAGTCATCAAAATAAATAAGTTCTTTTGCTTAAGAAGACAAGATGGGGGCTGGAGCGATAGCACAGCAGGCAGGGCATTTGCCTTGCATACAGCCAACTCGGGTTCAATTCCCAGCATCCCATATGGTTCCCTGAGCACCGCCAGTAGTAATTCCTGAGTGCAGAGCCAGGACTAACCCCCTGTGCATAGCCAGGTGTGACCCAAAAAGAGGAGAAGAAGAAGAAGAAGAAGAAGAAGAAGAAGAAGAAGAAGAAGAAGAAGAAGAAGAAGAAGAAGAAGAAGAAGAAGAAGAGGAGGAGGAGGAGGAGGAGGAGGAGGAGGAGGAGGAGGAGGAGGAGGAGGAGGAGGAGGAGGAGGAGGAGGAGGAGGAGGAGGAGGAGGAGGAGGAGGAGGAGGAGGAGGAGGAGGAGGAGGAGAAGAAGAAGAAGAAGAAGAAGAAGAAGAAGAAGAAGAAGAAGAAGAAGAAGAAAAGATGTCCTATCTGTTGCTTGATCCCAAGAACTCTAACTTGCAAGTGGGAGAAAACAGGAATATTCAAAGGAAAGTTGAACTTTTATTTATTTGGGACTGTATTTGTTTTCACTTAATCTGTTCCATTTCTTAAAAGTGAACTCATTAAGGCCTACCAGGACAAGAATGAGGGATAAGTGCATCATACTTATATGATAAAGGGATTAAAAAGTTCTTCACAGTGCATTAAATCTTTTTTAATTTTGGACATTTTTCTTGACATAGTTTTTTAGGTATTCAACATGAATTCTTAAGAAATACTTTTTTTAAGTTAAAATAGTGTAAATTTCATTTCAAGAAAATTGGGCAAAAATAGTTACTTACCATATAATATGATATTTTTTGTTATTGTAATGTAATGTACTGTGATTGAAAATTATAACAAATTGTAATTTTCTTTTCTTATTATAAAAATATGTTGCCTGTAGAAAAGGTAGACATACCCATAAACACACAATGTGCAATAATAGCTGCAATTTTACTAGTAGCAGTAGTGGCAGAAGTGGCAATAGCCTTTGAGCTTTGCCATGGGCACTTTTTCTCTGACAATGACAAGACAGACATAGAAACCTAAGTGAATCTGCTTAGGTTTTCAACAGTTTTTATATTTTCATAAAGAAGACTTTAAAGTAGCACTGTAGCACAGCCCTCCCGTCATTCACCGATTTGTTCAAGCGGGCCCAGTAACATCTCCATTGTGAGACTTGTTGTTACTGTGTTTGGCATATCCAGGCTTTGCCATGTGGACGAGATTCTCTCTGTAGCTTGCTGGGCTCTTCGAGAGGGACAGAGGAATGAACCCGACTTGGTAGGGCCGGCCGCCTGCAAGGCAAATGCCCTACCGCTGTGCTATCGCTCTCTGGTTAATTCCAATAACTCTAAAGTAGGAAGAAACAAATTATAATGAACTTCCCATCTTTTTCTCTAGGGTTGCCTTGAATATTTGGGGATAGTGGGGGTCTATTGCGCTATATAAATTTCAGCAATTACTAGATTTGATCTTTTTAAAATGTCACAGGGATTTTTATAGGAGCTTCATTGAATCTGTATAATGATTTGGATAAGATTGTCTTTTTGGTAATATTAATCCTCTAATAATCAGGAGATGTTTCCATTTCCTCATCTGCTTTTTTATTTTAGTGGTGATTTATAGTTTTGTTTGTTTTTTAATAAATATTTCACCACTTTTTTAAAGCTGGTTCCAGGTATTTAATTTCTAAGCACAATTGTGAATGGGATGTTTTTTAATTTCTCTTTATTCTATTTCTCAATGTAGAAAATGAAAATTTAGAAAAACCATCCATTTCTGTGCAGCCTGCCACTTTACAAGTCTATTTTTTCTAGAAGCTTTTTGTTGAAGTCTTTCCTGGATTTCTTTTTGTTGGATCTCTTGCCTGACCTTAGAGGGAAGGTTTTCAGTTTTTCACCATTGAGTATGATGTTTGATCTTATGATAAATGACTTTAACTATGTTGAGCAAAGCTCATTCAACCATTTTATTGAACTTTTTTGTCATGAATAAGTGTTGGATCTTGTCAAATGTTTTCTCTGTTTCTACTGATATGATTATATGATTTTTTTACTTTCCTTTGTATTAATGTGGTTTATTACATTGATTGACTTGTTTATATTAAACCAGCCTTGCATCCCAGGATTAATCCTAATTGTTCATAGTTCTTTTTGATGTATTCATTTGATTATATTCTTTTGATATATTCTTGGATTTTGTTGAGGATCTTTGCATCTCTGTCCACCAGGGATAAAGGTCTATAGTTTTTCCTTTTTGTGATAATCTGTCTGGTTTGGGTATCAGAGTAATGTTTGCCTCATAGAAAATATTTAGGATTCCTGCTCTTCAACTGTCTGAAAGAAACTGAAAGGGATTGGGAGTAGGTCTTTAAAGTTTGGAAGAACTCACTAGCAAACCCTTGTGGACCTAGGGTGTTTTTTTTTGAGAGAGAGACTTGATTGCCACTTCAATTGCCTTAATAATAATAGATCTGTTCAGGTGCTCTGTTTCCTCTAGATTCAACTTTGAAGTTCAAAAATACATCCATTTCTTCTAAGTTCTCAACTTTCATGGCATAAAAAATTTCAAATAATTCATGATGTATCACAGTTATTGAGAGTGCTTTCACAGAAATATTTATCATGCATTCGTCTGTTACCACCATCTGGAAAGGACTTTGATCCTTCAGATTTGTTATAAGAATATGCTGAGTTATAGGCAGTTATACTCAAAGAATGACTCAGTTTTTCAAAACTTTAATGAGATAGTAATGGAGGATTCCTTCCAACTTCTTGAAGGAGGAATTCCTTAAGGGGAGAAAATCCCTAGCAA